TGTTTGTCGCCATCAGAAAATATTAACACCCAGATTTTTGGTGGTGAAAAGCTGTTGCTAAAAATTTTCAACAGTGACTTTTAAATTCGCTGCCAAAACTCTGTTTTTTTTTGGTATAGTGGATCTAGGAAGTACCTCAATCCAAACTTGACAAGGAATCATGAACTCAACTCAGATCGGGTAAATCTAAACTAGATCTGGTTTGTTGACATGGGTGAGAAGACAAGATCTGGTAGAGTCACCGGAATTGGGAGTTGCAGTTCACCGACCATCGACATGCAACTCTTGAGGGAGCAATACATGCTTTTGATCAATTGATGGAGAAGGTGAAGAAGGTGAGGTGGGGACGAATGATGGAAAGAAGAGAGGAGAGAAGGGTATTTGTTGTCAACATAAATTTTAAGCAATGACATTTTGGATTGAAAAATTTATCCCCAAGAAAATGAACCCATTCCCATGATCGGTCAATGGAATGCTACTCCTTCCTATCAAGCAAAGGAATGAGCCAGTTTCACTTTCATTCTTATTTCATTCCAGTCTATTCCACAGTTTCAAACATGGTGGATGCAAAATTTTGTCGTGACGTTTTGTGAATTTATATTATTTTTTGATACAGCATGAGTTTATATTTATATCCTAAACCTAATGGAAGCAAAGTTCTTGTTAACCCCGCTCAATTAAGGCTATTGTTTGTATAATCAGGCCGGGGTCTGGGCCCGAGTCAAGAAACAAGTCCGACAAGAAAGAAAATATAGAATACGGGAGCCCAATGTAAAACTAAGATCCACCAGGATCTGCGTAACGGTTATATAATATACATACAGATGAATTATTTTGAAAACTGTGATTGTTAATGCAAGTGGCAAAATTAAAAAAAAAGGATGATGTCACATTCTTGTAAGGATTATATACTGCGTTATTAGGTCTAATTTTCTTGGCAGCCAATAAAAAGGTTTAATTTCTATATACCTGAACTTAGTTTGTTGATTTGATTTAGTCATAAATTTAACTTGTGTAGAGGAAATATATAGATACAGACGACACTTCTCAAAATATTTTACATTTGATGAAACACAACGTCAAACCTTGAAAGACTACAAATTTATTCCAAACGATCAAGTTGCACATTATTAATGTTGTGGCTGGAGGCGGCCGAATGGAATGCAGGAATACAACGTTGACTAAAGTTAAATTTTAAAAAATCATTCTTGTTTTCATTCTGGTGTGTCTTTTCTTTGTTGGAAACTAAGATGAAAAAGTTTTTGAGTGCTTGTTTCTTGCTATTCTGTGTTCTTCATGATGTGTTATTCGAAGCATTTGAACGTCTGCTGCAACTTTTAGTGTATTCTCTTAAAGTCCTCGCACAGACAACACTTCATATATAATAGTTGGAAAATTGTAGAGAGGATGATTCAAAAGATTGTAATAAATATTCAAAATCTGATACGCAAAATTATTGGTAAGTAATATAATCTGAACGAAATCAGGAAATGGGGCAGAAAGCTTAGAACCTAAATTTGACTGAATGACCAGGTCATCGGAACTAATCAAAGTAAAAGGATATTACCTTTAAGAAATATTTAATGAAGGGTTTAAATTAAAACGAAATAGGAAATACGAGGATTTTAAATAAATGAAGAGCACAAATATTTTTTTTAAATTTTTTACTTGTAAATATTCTGCCTAATCGATCGAACCCGAGAACTCGAAAGGGGGGGAGGTTTAAATAATTTTATGTTTCTATTTGTTATCAACCACTTGTAGGTAGCGTAAATGGGAGTTTAACTTTTGCTAACTACTCCCTTCGGACTTATTAGCTACTTTTATATTAAAAAATTAGTTTAGCATTAAATTTTTTTTATGAATTTTGAAAACTACCTTCAATATAAAAAAAACACGAAAGGAATGGGTTGAGTAGTTTGACTGATATTTTGAAATGGAATTTTAGTTAAATTTGGACAAGGCTTAGGTTTTTAGCCTTTAATACCAAATATTCTCTCGAAACCAGAATATAATTAAGTTGTTATTAACTAACTTACACTAAAAAAATTGGTAAATATTTTCATTTTCTAAATTATTCACATATTTTCATTTATTCCATTGAGTGGAATATTTAAGCTATCCTCATTAATTACATTAACATAATTAAAGCAAGGGTATAAATGTCAAAAAATATAAAATTTATCTAATGATTTATATTTCGGACCAAGAGATACGTCTAAGAAATGACTTACATTATGATTTAAAGTAAATACTTTCTCTAATCCAAAATCTAAGCTCATTTTAAGATTAATCTACATATTAATAAAATTATTATTTTCATTAAGATATATATATTTTTTGTTCTAGTTGAAGTTTATGATGAGTGAGAAGGTCATAAATTCATAAACATGAGAATCCATAGAGAAATTGAAAATTTTCCTTACAAGTACTAAAATACTTATACTTTGAATTAAGATTAGCTTGAAAAAAATGTTTATATTTTGGATGGAAAGAAGTATACTTTTATCCTATTAAATTAAGATAATTGGATTTAATGTGTTAATAATATTAATGATGAGTTTGTTATGGAATAAAGTATTTATAAAAAAATTATATATCTTAATTTAATTAGAAATAAACATTTTAAGTATGTTTGGCTAAATACTTAAGTTTTGCGTATATTATAAATAAGATTGAGGAAATATTAACCTTGCTAATCAGGATGATCATACTCTTATCGTTGTGGAGAATAAGTTCGAAGTTGGAGTAAAAAGCAAAAATATTCCGAAACTTTTTTGAGATTGGCGTATGGTATTTTAAATTTTTTATTTTTAGAACAAAGCCGCCGTCCCAATTTTTTTTAAAAAAGAATGCAATAATACCTCGACTTTGACCCAAACAAGCGTTTTACCGTCAACTCTCTTAAGTTGACTCATAATTTTTCACGTGTCACTCTTCTATTCCTCCTCCTCGTTCTTCTTCACTGTCTTCTTCGACTTCACCGGTGAGCCTGCAGTGTTCCATGAACTGAGAGAATTCCACCAAGAGATGCAGGGGAGGGAGGTAGCAGGAGAAGTCCACTAGGTAGGCCGATCTGGGTCGGGTGACGAATATGTGAGGGGTGGATCCGAAAACCTGCAGGAAAGTAGAGATGGCGATGACGGTGACCAGGTTGTACTGGATGTGTTGCGCATATATAGACACACACACACACACACAAGGAAATTGTTGTGTTCTTTACTGAAATTTATATTATATATATAATCGCGAAACAGAATTTAGATTCATAAAACTATCATAAAGAAGATTCGCAAAACGGTGCGCAGAGTGTACGTTAACAACAGAATTAGAACCAGAACAGTTAATTAGTCTAAGCTCTCTTATTCTTTGTTCATAGAGGACGGCCAAGTGCTTAATTATTAGGTGGGAAAGGCATGAACGAAAAAATTATTATCAGGCGATGGAGCCAGAGGCGGTAAAGCCGCCCTGGATGGAGGCTTCAGTACGATGACCCTTGAAGGTGCCAATGCCGCTATGCTCAATCTTGCGGCCGAGGGACTGAGGAGCAGAGTTCTGGTGGTGGTCCCTAGATACCGATGCTGATATTTCAAGATGTTCCAATAGTTCATACGCTAAAGTCGACGACGCAGAAGAAGAAGAAGAATGAGGTGGAATAAGATAATAGTGACACGTGTACAACTCTGGTTCAATCTGAGAGTTAACAGTCAAATGGTTGTTTGAGTTAATGACAGGATATTATTGTACTCTTTTCAAAAGTTTCACTTTCAGAATGACGGCATTCTAAGAAAAAATTTAAAAAGCCAGTCGCCTTTCGTGAAAAAAATTTAAGGTATTTTTTATCCTTTAATTTTTAAAAATTCATGTTTATTTGCCTTGTACAACTTTTTACCATCATTAGTTCATCTTTTCCCTGTAAAATGATATTTATGACTTAAGAAATTAAATTATTAACTGTTACATTTATGAAAATTGAAAAATAAATTATAAATATTAACTTAAACATGCAATTATAAACTGGGAGCATTTACAATCTATCTAAAATTTTCATTTAAAAATGAAATATTTTATCTGTAATTGAATTCTAAGAATTTAAGATTAATTTAATCTATATTTTTAATTTATCCTCAAAAAAATTTACTAAGAATATAAGTTTAATTAATTGAAATTTCAGATATTTTCCTTTTTTTTTCATCCCAACTTTTATAAATTGGTCCAACCCATCTGCAATATCTTTTTCTAGGCAACAGCCCTAACTCTAAGCTTTCAAAGAAGACATCATAATTTAAAAAAATTACATAATTTAAGAAATAGGAGAATATAGGGGAATTTCAAACAATTTACATAATTTAAGAAAAGTAGTTAATCATAATAATTATGTCTAAAGTTGAAGAGTTTGGACTAAAATACCTTTGTAATTAATATTTATTTTTCCGTACTAATTCAATGATACTGTTCATTTGTGAGGGATTATTCATGAAAATATAATTAATTAACACCTCTTAAACTTGGTAATATTGCTTATAATAAAAAAAACTAGAAACATAGAGTAATTTCTCTTATATTTAAAAACAGGGTAGTATGCATTATCAAATTAAACCAATAAAAATACATTATAAAAAAATTCATTCACGCAAGCTTTAACCATCCTCTTCCTGCAGACCCGCACTTCGTCTGCATTTTATAACGCTCAACGCTTCTGCCGCTCGCTTACTTATGAGTTATGACTTTGCCTGGCGACTCCGTGTGAACGGGCTGGCTTTGATTCTTCATATATATATATATATATATATGCTATAATGCTCATGCATACCTAACAACGAGTGGTAAAATGTTGTTGGAACGCCATTTTCTGATAATCTATGATTTGACGAGTTAGTTAAGTGACAAGGACGTTTATGTTTGAAGTCAAACTTCAACGCGCCCTATAAATTATAATTTCTCCCGCGTCCAAAAGCTCGCACCTCTAAAATTTATAAATATACACATTATCTCGGAGATAAAACTCGTCCAGAGAAGTCAGACAGTTTGTCTTGTATTTTGAATATGGATATTGAAGGATACCACGGCCTCTAGACTCTGGTCGAGGTCCTGATTTATCCCAAAAAAAAAAAAAAACACTTGTCCAGAGAACAAGGTTTACAATCAAGCTTCATCCAACCATGAAAGTGCTTAAATCATCCGTTCTCACCATCTTCTTCATGGTTTTCATGAACGGGACCTTCTCGTCACCTCCAGATGACCCCATCAAGTGCACTTCCGGCAACACAAACTGCACCATCACAAATGCCTACGGCGCCTTCATCGACCGGAGCACTTGCCGAGCATCCCGAGTACTGTACCCAACCACCGAGCAAGAGCTCATTTCCATGGTGGCTAAGGCGTCAAAATCAAACACCAAAGTGAAAGCAGCCACCAGACATTCCCACAGCATCCCCAAGCTTGCTTGCCCTGGAGGCCAAAATGGGATCATCATAAGCACCAAAAAGCTCAACCACGTCGTGAATGTTGATGTGGAGAGCAGAAGGATGACGGTAGAGAGTGGCGTCCTTCTGAGAGACCTGATCGATGAGGCGGCGAGGAATGGGTTGGCTCTGCCGCAGACACCGTACTGGTGGGGACTGACGGTGGCAGGACTGTTGGCGACGGGGGCTCATGGGAGCTCGCTGTGGGGAAAGGGAGGCGCGGTTCATGAGTATGTGGTGTCGATGAGGATTGTGACGCCTGCGACGGCTGAAGAAGGGTATGCCAAGGTGAGGAGCCTATCCGAGTCTGACGAAGAACTGGACGCAGCCAAGGTTTCCCTTGGGGTTCTTGGGGTTGTTTCTCAGGTATGTCATTGTTGGCCTTCATTCCAATAGATAATATAATATAAAAGAGAGAATGATACCAAGTTATAAGCTAGGATTTGATTAAACTAGATTAGTCCGGTCACCAGGGGTTATTCAAATTGATTTCCAATTGGTAACCAAATTCAAATGTGAGTATGTCCTAAAGTTATGAGAATGCGCCACTGATTCGATTTTGCTTTTCCTAGACAGTTTCAGGCTGAAAAAGACAAGGGAAAAAACATAGTAGTTTTGACTTCCTGTAATTGGTGCTTCGAATTTGCAGGTAACCTTACAGTTAGAACTGTTGTTTAAACGAGCGCTAACGTACGTGATGAAGAATGATTCAGATTTGGGAGAGGAAGTGATTAGATTTGGGAAAGAGCACGAGTTCGGTGATGTCACGTGGTTTCCTGCACAAAAGAAGGCAGTGTACAGAGTTGACGATCGAGTTTCCATTGACGAGTCTGGAAATGGTGTCTATGACTCCCTGGGATTTCGTTCCACTCCCTCTGCTCAGTTAGCTGATACCAGAGCCACAGGTTAATAACGTACCTTCTCATTTTCCTCCAAATTTGTGTCTGGCCTGCATGATCATTGGGTTTCACCATACCTGGGCTCCGGCCACTAATTCCAAGACCCGATCTGACTTGGGGAGAACATGGATACGATACCTGATAATGAGGCCTGGCTTATCTCTTCGGGTTGGACCCACTTCAAATTGGCCCAAACTCGGCCGAAAGAGAAAGGGGAAGGCAGATCAACCCAGGATTGAGTTTCGTGCTCGTTCTTACAATGAGAACTGAATCATTTAAATTAAAAAATTTAAATTATTTAAATTTAAAATATTATTATATTATTATATATTATATTTATTAAAATAAAGTTTATAAAAATTATAAAATAATTTTAATAAGTTTTTTGTTTTTAATCTGATTTAGATTTAATTTAACGGGTTTAATTTAATATTAAAATTTTTATAATTAATGTAAATTGATTATTCAGATTTATTTTGCACAGTTTAGGACAATACAGAAAGCGTTTAAATAATCAATATACATTAATTATAAAAATTTTAATATTAAATTAGACTCTTAAATTAAATCTAAACTAGATTAAAAATAAAAAACTTATTAATGTTATTTTATAATTTTTGTAAATTTTTATTTTAATAAATATATTATATAATAATATATTAAATCTGGACCGCAGATGTCATCTCAAGGATCAGCATATGGTGCTCATCTTAAAACGAGCATGGAAACCGGTCCCACCCAACCCATCACTTATTAACTAAATGGGGGAAAAAAAAGAGACTCTGAAGTTAGAAGGGAAGGGGAATCAGTTTCAATATTCATCACCCCGATGAGCACCTAAAGCTGATTCCCAGCAGAATCTGAGACTTGAGACTATGAAGATAGAAGAGGCGGCCAGGTGAGGAGACAAGCTAGTTTTCATTGATAACAAGCGAGGTGAGGCACTAGCCAACGACGGAGAGGGAGAGGAGTCGAGCCACGACCGCATGTTTATATATATATATATATATGAAACGACAAGGTTGGATCTTGGATCGGCCTCTTTTGTTCTAAAGGCCTGAGGGTTCAATTCAAAACTCTGTTTGATTTGGTCAGCTAGTTCATCCATTCGGGTCTTCTTTTTCTTTTTATAATGCGCGTTTCAATATAGTATGTCAGAGTTGATATTTTTATATTTATCATATAGGTAAAGGATTACAACTTTAGCATTTAGAGTTGATATGAAACACATAATTATTTTCCAGAAACTCAACTGACGAGAAGTTGAATTTTCTATGACAGAGGAACGTCAAGAAGCAACGAGGGACGCTAATGGAAAATGCCTTGATGCACAGTCAGCGACTAGGACGGCTGAGACATCTGCTTTTGGTTTGACTAACAACGGTACTTGTTCTGTTTTCTCATTTTCTGCTTGCGCATTTCAACAAACACCTTATGAACACTCCTTTCTCTTCATATATAGTTTTTATCCTTCATACATAGTTGATTATTGAACCAACATTATGAACACCTTATGCATAAATAGGTTCACTCTTTACTGGGTACCCCGTGATTGGACAGAACAATCGCATGCAATCATCTGGATCGTGCCTAGATAGCAAAGAAGACGCATTGGCCACCATATGCTCCTGGGATACTAGACTCCAACTTTTGTTCTTTTACGAAACAGCCTTCAGCATCAACTTATCTAATATTTCAAGCTTCGTTAAAGATGTGGAGAAGTTAGTTGAATTACAGCCACAAGCACTGTGTGGGATAGAGCTCAACGGTGGCATCCTCCTGCGATATATCAAAGCTTCAAGTGCTTACTTGGGAAGAACAGAGGATGCTCTGGATTTTGCTTTCGCATACTACAGAAGCAAAGTCCGGTTGACTCCCAGGCTTTTTGAGGACATTTTTGAGGAGATTGAACAGATAGGGTTGTTCAAATATGGAGGGTTGCCTCATTGGGGAAAGAATAGGAATGTAGCATTCAAGGAAGTGATCAAGAAGTATCCAAATGCTGACAAGTTTTTAAGTGTGAAAAGAAAGTACGATCCACAAGGGATTTTCTCTAACGAGTGGGCTGATCAGGTTCTGGGGTTAAAAGACGGCGTAATGAAATTGAAAGATGGGTGTGCTCTTGAAGGCTTGTGCATATGCTCAGAAGATCGTCATTGTGCTCCAACCAAGAAATATTATTGCAGGCCGGGCAAGGTTTATAAGGAAGCTAGGGTCTGTGCTTTCGAAGGCTGAGACTGATACGATGGAAAGCTTTCATGGAAGAATGCTTCAAATAAAAGAGCTTTTCAAAACCTGATGTTTCGTTTTTGAGATATTTCCGATCATCCTTTGTTGTGGAATAATGCAATGTGGCCATGTTTTTTTTTTTTTGACTGAAAAAAAAATGAAAACAATTTTTAAACGTAGGAATCGAAACGTGCCGCTAATTCTTCCATTTCAATTTTATCAAGCTCATTATCCAAGCATTTTGTCCTAAAAAAAAAAAATTATCCAAGCAGGCCTCGTTAATCTGTCCAGAAAAAAAAAGGTAATTAACATGTGGCCATGTTAATTCAATAAGAAAACTGTAGTCTGTAGATTGATTCTCTGTGACTTGTAATGTGAATAAATTGATACAAATGCGTGTACAGCGACTCATATAGGCATAAAAAGGCAATTAAGGATTTATGATGTCTTACCTTTCGAAGATGTTGTATAATGCTGTTGAAGTCTCTGAAGAGTCCAGAAACACTGCCCTCGACCAGGAATACGTGGATGGGAGTGAGACCGGAAGGAGTATACGCAAAAGTGGTGTAGCAGACTAGCAGTACTTGCCTTGTTGTTTTTTTTTTTAAAATTTTCTGGACAGAGTAACGAGGCCTGCTTGGATAAGTTTTTTTTTTTTTTAAGGGCAAAATGCTTGGATAATGCTTCGATTTCCACATTTAAAAATTGTATTCATTATTTTAAAAAAAACTGATTTAAATAACTATTTTGTGTTTAAATAAATTTTAAAACTACTCTCAAATTTCATTTTTAAAATAAATGAATGAAAATATTTTAAAATTATTTCTATTTTGTATTTTTAAAACAAACTTTATTTGCTTATTGAAAACTACAATTATTAATTCTCACTAGCACTGTTTATTGTCACTCGCCAACGTTGACGTTATTGCTAGCGACCGCCAATGGTCATTACCAATTTCCATCGGTGGCTGCTCCCATTGATCACCGTTGTTGCCGCCATCTACCGTCATGATCTGCCACCACCCGGCTAGCTAAACATGTTATTAATTGTTTGGGACTCAATGCCATTGACTACCAGTATCAACCATTGTTGGTGATCACCATTAATTAATCGTCTTGTCATCGTCGACCACTGCCAACAATAACAAATCAAGAGGGGGCCAAGGAAGTGCTCGCACTCCATACATCAAATGCTCTTTTATTTGAAAAAATATTTTTTTCTCACAAAAAAGTATTAAAAAAAAATTTGTAGCCACCATTTTATATCTTGTTTACAATTTAGCGCCCAACTCAGTAAATTCTAAATTCATCCTTGACTGTGACGGATTTACTAGCCAGGGTAGACACATGTTGTGAGAGAGGGGGAGCAAGCCCTGCCCCTACATGGCAGAAGAAGTTGAGAGAGAGAGTCATGAAGGAGGAAAAGAAGAGTGAGCATGTTTGTGAGACAATCAGAGAGAGAAAGGAAGGAAGCAATAAGGTTCAGAATCTGGTTACTATTGGGAGGATTTAAAAAAAAAATTATTATTTTATTGATTTGGCAAAATTGCAGATATTATAAACAATACATTGTCATATAATTTCAATAAAGTTTATGTTGAGTTATCCATCTTTAGTGAATCAGACCCATATATAAGCCCAATTAAAAAAATGAGATTTTGTTATAATTATGAGAAATGTTTGAATTTAATATGTAAGTTTCTTAGGTCCTCAAATCTAATTTTCTCCCTTTTTAGTTTTAACTTTTGAATTAGGAAGGGAACTGTATCCCACATGTTCCCATTTTATGTTCTTGTAGAGCTTGCTTAATAGTGGGTAGATCTCTCAATTTTTTGTTACAAATGGAAGTTTGGAACTTGCTCTCTCATTTTCCTCTATTCTCTTCCTCTTTGCGTGTTATTTGCTGTGAATATCACTACTTTGACCTGTAAAATATAACCACAAGGTGAGATAATAATTTCAATAACAGAATAATTTTCTATTGTCGACTATCACATTCAATTATAAGATAGCAATTAATATAGATAAACACAACATATAACATATGTTTTACTTTAAATCACACCAACATATCATTTTGTCTCTTTTACAACTTTACACACCACAACTCACCACTTTTCACCATATATCTAACATATAGCATGATTATTACCAATCGAATTTTCAAATCACCCTAACTCAAAATCATAGGCTTGTTTTAGACCAATATACACTCTTATCTACTTTGAGCTCACATTTAAAAGTAGAATCACTCGGCTAAAAAGTATTCTATCTCACTTTCAGATTAAGGAGTCTAAATCTCCAACACCGCACCTTAGGAGGTACTAAGGAGATGATTTTTAACACCGTATCTTGAAAGGGACTAAGGAGATATGATTTTTCAACACCATACCTCATTGGGTACTAGGGACAATAATGCTATTTGGTCTTTCTCTACATCTCCTTTGGGTGAACTCTCACCTTTATGATTATGCTTTCTAAACCAATCATAGATTCCCATTCATATTAGCATATGTATCCACAACACAGCACAACACACACACACACACACACACACACACACACACACACACATGTATGAAATCACATGTTTTTACTTGTTTATTTGATCAAAGTCTTTTTTTATGTAACATTCACATAATACTATGAAACATACTTAGTTTAAAACCAATTTCAATTACATGTTTTTACTCGTTTATTTGATCAAAACCCTTTTTTATGTAACATTCACATAATACCATAAAACATGCTTAGTTTAAACTAATTTCATGCGTTATAGCACATACTTTTACACCCTTATAATAAATAGTCAAACAAAAAAAATTATTTGACTATCTTAACCCTTTTGTCATAAGAAAGGTTACCTGTGATGTAGGTTTAATTACCAATAAAATCTCTACAAGCTTCATCCTACAACTTATTCACGGAGTATGCAAATCTATACATAATTGGCATTATTAGTCAATTAATTCAACTAATCAAAAATACTTATTTACTACTCAATGCTACAATTAGCTGTTCTTTCACTTTTGCTTATCTATTCAAAGTTAGTGATTACTCGATTATCACTTTATATCACTTCAAATGATCTCATTCTAATTTTACACCATTTCCACCCCAAACTTTCATTGAATTAGGACCAAATTAATTTTGCAGGTTCAAAGCTCTATCATTCAACTCTAAATCAGTTACAAAGCTCTAATTTAACTTTCGAGAACCTTTTTATTATTATAGGGTAAGAAACAAACTCCTTAAATTTCATCGATTCAATTTTTTTATAACTCATACAAAAAGAAATTGTAATAGAATAAGAGGTAAGGGTTGTATAAAGCTTACTAGATAAGTTATTAATCAGAAGTACCTTCTAATACTTCAAAATCCTTTACCCTAGCCAACCTTTGCTTCTTCTCTTCTTCCTTTATGCGTTTCTCTTCTTTCCTCTCTACCCTCACTAGCTAATCCATGACTTTTAAAGTCATTTTCTGGTACATGCACTTTGGCGCAGGCATCATTAGCTACGACGTATGGTACAATGAGGAGAATCTTCACTGCGCGCACAAGCTTTGCTCCAAAACGTGATTCTTTCACCTGTATCTGTTCATTAACATTCTAATAACACAAATCACTGACTAATCATCATCTAAATCTCTAATCCTTTACTAATTATTAGCTTACCCTTGATTACTAGTTAATTATAGGATTAGAAAATTAGAATGTTACATTAATAAGGTTGACTCTCTCGTACTAGCAACTGCCTTTGACATTCAAATCAAAGTTGAGACATTTGTGTTTACCAAAAAGGAAATAGAAATGTTGATATAGTAGAGAAGAAACACAAATCATAGGTCACCTCAATCAAAGAGCAAGTTGAGATGAGATCCATAAGTATACTTGGATCGAGTCATGGATCCTTATATCCATGATAACTATAGCCAAATAACAAATTCTTTTAAATTAACACAATGTGAGATTAATAGAATAAAAGAAATTAGGTTTAGATATAATGAGTATCTAAACTTAAGTTTATATGATGTTAATAGTAAATGAAAATGATGTATGCTCTTACAAGCAAGAGTAACACCATAACATGTGTTTCATACCACATGTGCTTAAGAACTGCAATTGGAAAGTAAGTGAATAAATTCCTGCTTTATTATTGTGTGAGTCCCAAAAAGGAAAATCCTTTCAATGATGTCTTTTGAATTTGACATTATTATAGAGATATGTCACATATCTGCTACTTTAACATACATCCTATGGTCGTGATTGATGCGACTTGAATCTATCATGTTAGGAAAGTGACTATCTCCCATAAATGTGGTATATGGGCGAAAGGAAGATTACCTTAAATATACAAGTCCATGCTCATATTCAAGACATGTCCCTCATGAAACAAATTATTGATTCATAAGTGTGAATACTACGCATATAAGACAGACTATCTGAGTCTTAGACTAAATCAAGAGGGATCAAATTAATCATGATGAGAAAAGTATATAATTGTAAATTCAGGATATTAAGGCACAAATTCAATTAAGAATAAATTTAATTTTAGGGTTATTTATGCTAACCCTCAATAGGATTTCTAATATGAACACTTGAAACAAAGACGTCAAGCCTATGTGGTCATGGCAAAAGACCTTGTATGAAAAGAGGAAAGAGAAAGGGACAAGATTGACATTATTTTCTCTACCAAGTGTGGGAGGAAGATGTTGGGTTATCCACCCTCAATAGGATTAATATGGCAAAGACGTCAAGCCTATATGGCAAAAGACCCAATTACCAGGAGGAAGATGTTGTTATTCTTATGGATTAGGCATATATATGAAAATTTGCTTAGGTTCAATATGCAATTTTCTCAAGTCCTCAAATGTAATTTTCTCCTTTTTTAGTTTTAACTTTTAAATTAGAGAGGGAACAGTTAGAAAACCATATCCCACACTTTCCCATTTTAAGTTCTTGTAGAGACTGCTTATTAGGACGAATCTCTTAGTTTTTTGTTATGAAAGGAAGTTTGGAACATGCTCTCTCATTTTCCCCTATTCTCTTCCTCTCTGCATGTTATTTGTTGTGAATATCAAGAACCTAATTCAATCCTGTAGCTTCGTCCCTGCATACGGCATTCATCCAGCATATCATATAAGGTTAGTTTACTCCTCCAAAAACTTATGATTCATTTATGG